CAGGAACAAATCTGCTCTCGCAGCTGGCCATCTCCAAGAACAACTGCACTTGTTTCTCCGTCCTGGGTAACTAGGCTGTCTTTAAAGATCTCTGTCTCATCTTGGAGAGGCTGCATGGGGCTGTTCTCCAGAAAATACTGCAGTTGCCAGGCTTCCTGATTTCCAATTTTGCATTCTCCTGCAGCCACTGCAGAAGAGTAGCTACATGACCAAAACACATCTCCCTACCCATACAAGATTCCCAACTGCACAGTTAAGAAAGCTCTCTGTAAACTGGTCTGTGCAGAAGAGCATTCAGCTTATAAGGGTGAGGAATATAGTGCTGAGCAGCCCACAGAGTTCTAGCATGAACTGAAAAGGCTCCATTTAAAGTAAACTGTATTTGTATCCTAACCCAGGTACAAAGAACAATTTCTAATCCCTACTGAAAATTGAACTTCTTCCTTAATTTACCTGTTGTTTGGACAGAAAGAGCATCAAGGTATATCTTCTGGGAAGGTGGCGGCATCCCTCTCTTTGGGTAGATCTCATTTGAAGAAGTGCACTGCTGATAAGCTAGCATGACAAGAAGCCCTCAGCAGTGTCCCCTCTTAGAAAAGGGAGGCCAATCTTGCTACCTTTTGTGGCAGCAAGCCACAGTAGCCTGTCCAGAATAAGACAACTTGTTAGCCTAGCTCAGTTGGACCATCCAGTTTTTGAAACGTTTAAAGACACACACAAGAGCCAGAAACCACTCACAGCATAACACAGAAGGTATTTCTGAGGTAGGCTCAGGCTTAGGTCTGGGCTCATGAGCCTTCCACTTCCCCACCGCTGCAAGCACTCCTTTATAAGGATGAAGTCAGCAACTTTTTTCACTCACCTCCTGCTCTTGCCTGCGCAGGGTCTTTTCCTGACTCTTTGCACTCTGGATAATTAAGGCCCATTTTCTGAGACTATGTTTTATAGCTGTATGGGAGAACATAACAAGTCACACATGCCTTCACAGTGACAGAAAATCACATCAGACCCTGTCTCTGAAATTTGATTCTTTTGCACTCGAGCATCCTAATTCCAGATCTGAAACCCAGCATATTCCATTCTGGCCATTATATAAAAGTAAACACATATTTTAGACATTTGTAAAAGCTGAACTGCTGAGCTGCTTCAATATCTTTTCCCGTAAAAAAAGAAGAACAGCAGAATTCATGCTGCTGTAATGCAAATGTGGTTTATCACTGCATGAGTGTGTTTCCTCTGAAAGAGATTTTGATTCCTTGAAAATGTCAAGTGCTGACTACTGCTGCCTGACTTAATGACCAGCAGCATTTATCGCACATATAGGATCGAAGATGGAGAAAACTCACCAGGCACATACAAAGAATACCTCATTTTTGCCATAAGCATTCTAAGTTGCTTGCTCATACACTTCATTTTAGTTACTCAAAGCTTGGTTTAGGTTCTTCCTTTCCCATAACCTTCTATATGTTTGCTAGCTGGCACACAATAATGGTGAAAAGATAATCAAATCTACTGACATTAAGCACATTTCTGCAGTTAATTAAAAAAATAAACTGAAACAAACAAAACCATGCCCTCTCTTTCCCATCAAAAAACTCAGAGCTATGCAGCTGTTTGATACTCTGCAATCCAGCATTTATTAAGCAGTAGTGTTGGGTGATAAAGGGACTGGAAGCACAAAGATCTCAGAAATATTTACCACTGAACATATTCACATACAGCACCTGTTGTGAAAAATTACAAAAGCAGCTGCCAAAGATAGGGAAGCAAGCCCTAATTGCTCAGCCGATAATCTATCTGCAGGTGGGGGGGGGTGAGTCATTTTCAGCTTGGCCTCATTAACTATGCCCTAAACTAAAGCTGTCCTAATTTGAACCAGCAAAGGGCCAGCTTGCAAAAGAGCAACGTATCTGCATACCAGCAAATTAGATGCTTACCTACAAGTGATGAATCCACACAACTCATAAGCAAATTGCCAACTTGGCAAACATGTGGTTGATGCATGCAGAAACGCTGATTTTTAGCTCTGTGGCACCAAGTGACGCCAGGTGGGAAGTTCACACAGTCATGAGGAATGACATAGGTTCAATGAACCCTAGTGTCAGGAATGAGGGTAGCACTAAATATTGAAATTCACCTTTAGCCTAAGTTTGAAATATGCTGGTGGAGAAAGGACTAAAGCAGCAACCTGATTTCAGCTGTCCTGTGACAAGGAACAATCTATTCAAAGGTCACACACAGTTGTAGCGTATTTGTTTTCTGCTAATATTTAGTCATACTCTCAGCTTTCTTTCATGATCCCAGCATCCTTAAAATCCATTAGTGAGACTCTAACTAGCCCACAGCTCTGAGAAGACAGAAGTCAAAAAGCCCTTGAAACCTCCCAATTCTATAACCTGTTTCCCAAATTATATGAATCAAGCTGGCTTCAATTCCTCTGCCACGTGATTTTGTTACAAGGCTCACCTAAACTTTGTTTGGGTTCCGCTTTTTTTTTTTTTTTTTTTTTTTTTTTTTTTTTTTTTTTTTTTTTTTTTTTTTTTTTTTTTTTTTTTTTTTTTGGCAAATCTCATTTTCAGATGAAACAGGCAGAAAAAAATGTGCTGAGAAACTATGATTCTTTTCATCTCTTCTCCAAGTCCTGTGGTGTGAATGCTGGCACTATGCCTTCTGCAAGAACAGCAGAACTTCCCTCTGAAGACTAAATTACCTCCAGAGCCAAGGGGCAATTTGAAAAACATCACTTAGAGGTTGGGGATTTTTTTTCTTCTGTATTTACTGCCTCAAAGAAGGGTTGCAGCATGTGATGTAAGAGCAGTCAGCTTTTACCACCACACTGAAACTAGTGGTTTTCAGCGCTAGCAGGCGAATTTCACGTTTTAGCCGGGGTCTGAAGAGAGTCTGTTTGCTCGCATCCACATGAAGTGTCCATGTGACATATACATATGCATCCAAACTTTTTTTCCTTCTGCCAGTTCTGTAGCTTGCAGATAGCGTTATTATTTAAGAGAATGTCACATTCTCATCAAACTGCAATTAACTTTTTTTTCCAGTAAAATTATGCTAATTTATGTAATCTGTTGGACACTGGTCCCCATCAAGCCACAGCTGGCCAGAGTCTGAACAGATCAGCAGCTTCGGTCCCTTTGTTCTACCCTTGTCCACTATCTACCATGAACAATGGTGAATTAACTCCCCCGTGTTCCTGCTGCTCATTCTTTGCAAGCATAATGATCTTTCCAAAATGGTGTACATCAGGCAGTACCTCCCAGAGCAGAGAAAGAGCTTAAACCTCCATTAGGACAGAGCTGTCGGTGGCAAACTGCTGAAAACGCAATGCGCGTCTTGTGAGTTAGAGGGCTTGCTCATTTCAAGAAAAGTGTGCCCTGGCTACTACGGGACTCACAGTACAAAGATAATAAGGCAACGGTTTTGTGCTCAATACACCTCATGTATCTTGTCAATTAGCATTTGTTTGCCAACTGGCAGCTATGAATCCAACACCTGGACTGGCTAAAACTGGCACAAGTCCTTTAAATAGTTTAACAGCTGCACACATGTGAGTATCTGCATCTTTCAGAAGTATCTGAGTACCAAAGTGCTGATTGCCAGTATGCAAATTGGGTGAAAACTGGGGGAAGAAGTCCTATTTCTATGACAGCCATTTCTACAACTTTCCACCTGCCCAGCTCCCCTCCAGCACATGGAATAATCTGCAATGTGACAGTAGCCACTACTGGCCTACTCAGTAAAGCTCTCAGCTGCTTCACAGCATGCGAAGACCAGTTCAAAACTAACCCCAGCTTTGGAGACAAACTGCTCTCCCCCCACATCAGCTACTGACTGGAAGCAGCTGAGGATACAAACCTTTACATTCTTTCACCTTCACTGGCCTATATAAAGAAACTCAAGCAGACTGTTTTGAAATAGGAAAAAAAAAAAGAAAAAAAGGATGTGGTAACAGTTTATGCCATATAGTAAGTGTTCTTTGTAGGGTATTATCTGTAGACAAATTCTATAGACTAACCTTGACTGAAGCAGTGCGGCTGATCTGCTTGCTGGGATTCAGGTAAAGTAATTCATTTTTAATTTTTTGTCTTAATTTTTCAGTAATTTGATAGAAGCATTGATTTCAGAGCATGATTTTTAGCATAGCCTGATGATTATTTCTTGTAAAGATCAAAGGGTAAGATGAAAAAGGTAGTGTTGCTTGTCTTAGAGCAGAAAGGTTTCCAGCTTCAGCGATATGCATACATATACTCTCTTGCAATGAAAATACCTTGGAAAAAATGGCAAGAAACTATCCAACTACAAATTAAACGCATGGCAGATATGGGACCTCCTGCTCTTTATTGCACTAAGACTTCTTACCCTTCTCTTGTGCATCTACAAAATAGCAATTTATAGCTAACACGAATAACGATCTAGAAAACAAATATAAACAAAGTCAGCTTCACAGCAGTAACATTATTTGATTTGAATTGATTAGGAAAGTAACTGTAAATGCTGTAAAAGTCCTCGCTGAAGCGGTGACCTGAATTTGCCTCATTCTTTTGTATTGTAGCTAAATTAAAAAGATTGGTTTGCTGTGTTCTGTGTCATCTGTTTATCATTTCCTCACTATTAAAGCTACACCTACACTTAACAGTAAGTTACAGACTTTCTGATGAGAATGTTCCTACCTATGAAGCTTTCATGGATAAGCATATTCTTAATTCATCCCCCTCCCGCCACGTGTGCTAACATATAGACTTGTCTGAACCAACCAGCACCAGATAAGCTCAGATCTGAGCTCCAAAAAGAAACCCATCCCACAAACTGCCGTGCTGCAAAAAAATCTGCAAAGGTGATACTGTAAAACCTTGATGTTCCGCTTCATAGGTCAGTAACTTTGCTACTAGCTTAGCCACAAGCTCCTGCTCACCATTAAGCCCAATTAATATTTAACTAGTCCGTGAGAAGTGGAAAATCCTCACTCAATAGGAGAAGCTGGGAGCACATGGAGCAGTGACAACACTGGGTCTGGACTGGCTAAGGCACTCTCTCTTGAGCAGTGTTAAACTTAGGCTCTTCCACTATCATTTGAATTACAGAAATTGTCTGAAACGGTCCTAGAGCTGCTTGCAATTCCTTCAGAGAACTCGTGGAGGCTAGAAGAATTTTCTTCAGAAGACAGGAAAAGAAAAACATGGTGCCTATCTCTAAACAAGGTGGAAAAGGAGGAGCAGGGAAATTTTAAGAACTAGGACTTGCTTCAGTACTTGGAAAAATATTGGAATCATCAATCAAAACTGTTTTCAAGCACCTAGAAGAAGACAACGCAGCAGTAAGTAACAATCTGCATAGATTTGTCTGAAAACGACTGGAATCAAAGTAATGCAACTTTCTTCAGGGACAGACTGACAGCACTTAGGGTGTAGGAGGGGGAACTAGGCTTCTAACGCTATCTCTAAAGAAATTCTCATAAGCCAGCTAAGGAAACATGATCTATATGAAACTTCTATATGATAAGTGAGCAACATACCAGTACCCGCTCAGATACCAATCAGTCTCAGTCATACAGAAAAGGTTCAGTCTTGCAGGGTTCAGTATCGTCAGTATTTCTGTTAATAACTTGGACATTGTAATAAAGAAGAAGCTTATTAAATGTCTACAAGCTTATTTGTTTAAAAAAAAAAATTCTTCAAATAATTTTGGGCAAGCGTTACTGTGTGGACTGTTTGTTAACAATTCCCTCAGATTACTCAAAACGTGAAATTAAAATTTGAGGAGCGCAAAATGATTGAAAACATCAAACCTTTTGAGAATCAGGCACTCCACCTGAATTCTTGAAATTTCCATTTTAGAAACTGGCTAAAATTTCCTTGCAACTAAGCGTTTTCAGGAGTAATGCTACTTGTGATTGTACTAAGGAATTCTGAAGAATAGTGAGATAGGAACTTGACAAAAGTAGAATCAAAATTTGTACTTTTAATTTTAAAAGAGATCACAAGCAATTTTCTGATGTGTTCATCTAGGACATAAAACGTTGGATTAACAGGTGCTGTCCTCCCAAAAATATTTCACGTCGTCTGATTTTTTCCCCAACTGAACGATGCTCCTGCCAACATGACGCACGTGCCCACACAACCGCACAACACCCCTATTTCCTCCTACCTGCCCTGCATCCAGGTGACAGCAGTGTCTGCATGCGATGATCCCATGTACACGTAGTGCTGATACGTCACCACCTCCTGTGGAATTATCTCCCCTAATGTGTACCACAACCACATGATTTCTTTAAGCAGCTGCCTCACATTGGTGGCTCAAAGGGACTGACTCAATCCCAGATTGACTTATAAACCAAAGTTTTCTTTTGTTCTCATTTCTGACAGATTAATCTACTGATAACAATCAGATTTCCTTTTGTTATTTCCTAAACTCACACAACTGTGACTGTCCCACTCATGTGGCTCAGACCAGTTGCCCACAGCTAAGCCAGGCGAGGCCCCTCGACTGACAACACCTCCCCGCTCCGTTCTGCCAGCAGGTCTCCCTCCACTTGCACCACAGGGTCACCATTGTACCACTGTGAAGGACTAGTCCCACGTGAATTTGTGAAACCCTCTAGTAACCTTCCATTGACTCTTTTGTACTCATCGATTTTCTTGTAACCAAAGCCTCACCTACTTAATAACTCTTGTTCTAACCCCCAGTTTTTCTCATGTAACTTATTTTTGTCTAGTGCGCTTTACTGAAATCCAGTTGCCCTAGACCTTCTGCCTTTTCCTTACTTGAAAAATCAGGTATTTCAACAAAGACAACATTGCTCTGGCAAGGTCTGTCAAAGGCCTTGTGCTTTTTATTCAGTTTACCATGCTTTCAGTTATTCTTTAATTTACAATTTGTATGAAGCTTTGGGTTAAGAGATACAGAAGTGCTTAATTGCATTTGCCCCTCTTTCCTTAAATAGGTACACTAAACTGATTGTTTTCCAGATATACTGATTTCATACCTACTTGATAGACTCCGTAAAAATTCCTGGGCTGGACTTACAGCTTTTTGTGGCAGTTCTTTCAGTAGTCTGAGCTGGAAATAATCTGGTTTCCACGCTTGCTCACATGCTCACTCTCTTTCTATATATGACGTTTTAATCATGTAAACAAAAAAAATTATTGTTTTTTGGTTTCTTCAGCAAAGTCCAACCCCGCTTGGTAACGCTTATTAGCTACCTGTCACTTTCTGCCCTCCAAAGCAGACACCCACTTCTTAATCAGCTTCTCAACTCCTCCCCGTTGCGTACTCAACTCATTCCTAGGTAAAAGCCCAGTCGGTCTTCGTAAGCTGACCTACTCAAAAACTGCATCAAACACAAGCACTATATGAAATAAAAATATCCATATGAGTGCAGAGATAGTAAAAGCACATTACCAAAAGCTACTGATGCATAGGGAATCATGGACATGTATCGTATTCAAAGTAAATTCCTAGCTATCACTTTGACCTAATAGACAGAACACTCATTTCACAAATTGCTGTGTAATGAAGGAACCACACACAGGCATTATGGAAGTTTAAGTAGACATACAAGTTACTTGCTATGACCAGCCCACTTCAGAGTCCTTGAAAGCATGGGTTTGAAGGGGCCAGCATCTTCAATATCTGAATGGGGTTATCCTAAAGGACCTGATAGTCAATAGATGCTGACTACCTGCACTGTAAGAATCAGGCTCCTTTAGGATAGATTAAGCCATTCAGAACGGAAATAGAAAGATCTGTGCTTAAAATGAGGACTCACTTTCAAAATTAGGCAAAGACCTATCAAGCGTCTGGTTCAGTTTTGTGGCGGGGAGGAGAAAGAGTTGCATCCAAAAGTATTCTGTTCTGAAACATCCAGAAACTAACTGGGGGCCTTGCACCTTTCCAACCTGTTCTCTGTGTGATTTAGGGGAGACATGGCCAACCACAGTGAGGAATGCAACTTTACTGGCATTGACAGCTTAGCAAAGACTCTCCAATACGGGATTTCCATCCCCACCTTCATTCTTGGCTTGGTTCTCAACACCCTGGCCCTCTCCGTGTTCTGCTGCTTTTGGAAGAAACAGACCAAAACCTCGGTCTACATGATCAATCTTGCACTTGCAGATGTCCTGCTGCTTCTCTCACTCCCTCTCAAGCTGTACTACTCCATCAAAGAAGCACCCAGGCTCCTGTGTGCATTTATCGAGTCTCTGTACTTCGTCAATATGTACGGCAGTATCTTCATTATTGTCTGCATTACAGTTGACAGATACATTTGCATAAGACACCCCTTTGAAGGTCGAGCTAACCAGTCCCCCAAGCGGGCAATCTTGATTTGCTGCTTCATTTGGGTAACAGTCTGGCTTTGCAGCAGCCCAATGTATGCATTTCACAAGGACGAGAATTTAAAGTGCTTTCACAACATGTCAGAGCACGCTTGGAGCATTCCCCTCATTGTTTCTGTGGAGATTTTTGGATTCCTGATCCCACTCTCAGCGATGGTTTACTGCTCTGCTCAAAACATCTGGATTCTTCTGAATCAAAAGAGCAGAGATAAAAAGAAGGAAGACGACAGTAGCTCCTTACGAGCCATTACCATTAACCTCGTGGTATTTTTGGTGTGCTTCACACCAGTCCATCTTGGGATTTGCCTACAGTGCCTGGTAAGACAGCATGTGATAGAGGACTGCAGTCTGAAACAAAACATCAGCCTCTTCATTCAGATGTCAATGATATTTGCCAACCTGAACTGCTGCCTGGATGCCATCTTTTATTACTTTGCCGCAAAAGAATTTCGTGAGAAAACGAACATGAAGAAGATTATTGAACTATGTCCTGTCTTTAAGCCTTGTGCTACAGGACGGGATTGCCTGCAGTGGAAGAACATCTCTTCCTCAGCGCCCACTTGCCTTGCAGGACTCTGAGAGCGTTATCCTTGATGTAGCAGCAGGGTCACCCTGGCCACAGTAGGGAGGGGGCAGAAGGAGGAAGGACAGCGTTTTTCTGGTGAATGTGAACTTGCTTCATATTTTTCCTCCCATTAAAGGTGAAAGGGGAGAAGTGTTGGAAAAAAAGAATTTATTGTCTTAGTGCTATGTCCTTCACCTTGATGGTACTTGTTAAAACGTGAAAAGCTTGCCAGAGTAAAACAACATAAATCATGAGAACGCCACTTAAAATCAGCCTTCACCACCACTGCACCAGTTTTCCTTTCGCCAACTTGATCAGAAACTTGCTGGGGCCAGTCAAAAACAGAAGTGACTATTTCAAACCTTCTTTCTAACTTAGAAGGTAACCGAGAGTTAAAAGGCAATATAGGGCCAAAAGTCTGACTCTGTTCTTTACGTCTCTAAGCCTTGCATAAGGTTACCATCAGAACTCTTCTGGCATAAACAGCTTGGCCAGCCTGTTGCAATATTGAACCATACCTCCTATAAGCATTACAGACCGGTCCAGGCCATTACGGAGGACAGCTTGCCCAGTATGTGACCCTGAGCAATGTACATTTGTGATTATCTACGCTGAGGAATCAGCACAGTTTTCTCCAGCAATTTTAAATCTGACTTTGCACATGGAAAACAAAATAACTGCTTCAAATACTGCATTTAGTGAAAGATCCCACATGATGAACTGTGGGTAATCGTCACTATGTTTATGCCAAAGATTTAACATGATACATGCATTAAAGTTTTCTGCCTGCCTTCTCATGCATTCCTGGAGGACAGGAATTATGGAAGCAATCATAGCACCCCAGAAAAATAGGTTGGGACTACTCAGCTCAAACTCCTGGCTCCTAGTCGTGAGACAGGATCAGCCCCGTCCACCTCGTGCCTCAGAAAAGCCTTCCTAACTTTGCTTTACAAAACTCTGGAGACAAACGTCTTACAACCTTTCTCAGTCAGCTCTGCTGGTATTTCGCCACCCTTATATCACATGTAAGTTTGGCCCTGAGTGTAAACTAAAGATTTTATTGTTGCAATTTAAGTCCACGGTTTCTTCTACTGCGATACTAGTATGATTCATGTTGCCTTAGCCAGAAACATTTTCGCATAAAGAAGTTTATCTTTGGGCCTTTTAGAAACAGCTGTAAAAATTGTTCAAGATTGCTCAGAACCAGGTCTCTGTTCAAGAGCGGACGTTTTATTTATTCAAAACGTGAAAAGAAATTGGCTTCTGTCTGGAGCAAAAAAAGAAAGGGGAGGGGAGCTAGTTTTGAAAAAAAAATTTGCAGTCAATTGATTTCTTTATAAATTATTGATTGTGCAAGTGGGAAGCTGCACATATCTAACGTGTGAGTGTTTTAAAACTTGTTAGTACTAACAGCATGACCACCGCTGAGGCATGAAGGAGCTCAGAGGAAAGGAAAGGTTTTTATTATCTTCCTCACCAGCATCTGCAGAGTAGCAAGAGGAAGAGCTTTCCAAAACAGTAGATTCTCAAAACATTATTTACTACTGTCTCGATCATTCAGAAATCTGCAGCCTTTTCAGTATGATTTAGCCTTTCCTTCTGTACCTTTGACATTAATTTGCATCTGAAAGATATGTGGGAGAAAGAACATGTTCTACCAAATAAACTGTATATGTAAGTTGAATGACTGTAAAATATATTTTCCTTCCTCAATGTGATGGCAGTGTATGATTCTTATCTGATTATTTCATGCCAAACTTTTACCATTGTTCCCTTAAATCAGCTCCAAGACTTAACTGGAGATTTTCCTTTCCAGGAAACATGGTTCATAACTATGGCAACAGATAATAACTGAATTACCAGAAATAAATAGAAAAAGTAAGAACAGGACAGATAACCACCCCTAGAAATCTGGACAATCTAAAACATTTTCTGAGGAAACCCTCTCAGTAAATGCTTGACAATTCCCTGTCAAATCCCCTACAATATTTCCTCCAAAATGCTGAGCTCCTTCTTTTATGACGAGCCAATTATCTGAAACTTCATATTACCACTGGTGCAATTTGCAACTCTGCAAAAAGATAGCACTTCTTAAGGTTTAAAGTTTATCATGCACACGCAATGGGTGATGATACAGTACACATCCTCTGCAGCTCTGTGGACAACGCTAAGCCTGGGGTACGGCCAAGTGGCAGAGCCTCAGTCTGGAGGGAACCCAATAAACTCAAGGACTGGGCCAGCAGAAACCTCATTAATTTGAAGAAGCAGAAATTCAAAGTTCTGTACCAAGGGCGGTACAACCTCATGGATCGGCACAGGCTGGGAGACAAGGGATGATGCAGCTGCCCTCCTGGAGGGGTGATGGTGGACACCAGGCTCAATACAAGCCAATGGTGCACTCTTCACGTAAATAAGGCAAAACAGACACGAGGCTACATTAAAAGCATGGCCAGCACATACAGGAAAGTTATTACTGCCTTCTACTTGTATTACTGAGGCTGCACTAGAATAGCGTGTCCAGTTTTGGGCCTTACAGTTCAAGAGGGATATGGAGAAGCTGGAGAGGGTGAAGCAGAGGGTTAGCAAGATGCCTGGGGCACAGGGCAGCCAGCCTGAGAGGAGAGGTGAAGGGAGCTGGGCTGCTTTCCCCTGGCATGCCGGAAGGGAAGTAGCAGAGCCAAAATCTGCCCAGCAGTTCCTGACAAGATAACAAGGAGTAACGGCCCTTGGTTCGGGTTCAACATTAGGAAGAACTTCTGCACTAGGAGGTAAGGCAGCACTGGCACAGGTTACCCAGAGATGCTGTGTGATACCCATCCACAGCGGGTTTTGAGACGTAGCTAGACAAAGCCACAGCTGAGTTGCTCTAGCGTTAGAGGCAAGCCTGCTCTGAGAAGGAGCTGAACTCCAGAGGTGCCTTCCCACCTTTCTGTGATTCTCAACTAATCCAAGCTCGTTTATTTTTCCCTTCCAAGACAAAAAGCCATCTCCTAGCGCTGTTGATGTTACGGCACTGTTTGTCAACAGCTCTACTGCAAGCACAGCCCAAAACTGAAGAAATATATTAGCTGCCTAAAAATCACCAGGCATGCATCTATGAGCCATAAGGCTACTATATTTGAAGCCAGGACTAATGAAGCAATATCCTTGTCTTCAACTGATTCATCACTAAATACCTGGAAAAGAGCATTTTATAATCCTAAAAAGAGTAAGTGCACAGACCTAGCAACCAGAGAGAAAAGATGCTTAGGGGCTCTCATAGTATGGTATGGGGAAAAGTTTGATCTGCCAGGGTTAGAAAGACAATGTTCACAGCAGTGCCTGGTAGACAGCAGAGTCGCAGCATGTACGAGCAGGGAGACAGGAGCTCTTCTTTGAGGAGCAGCTCTCTTTGGATGAGACTTCCACTTTCAGTCAGAAATCAACTTATTTTTTTCAACAAAGGAAACAGTGGTCCGCCTGTGAAATACAGCTGTAAGAATGGGAAGTGATGGGACCCACTATGTGCCACTGGTCTACAAACTCAGTCTGCTCAGTCCATATACCACAGCAAAATTGAAGAACAGAATCTAAAAGTTAAATTGGACTATTTTCCTCCTACTTATCATTACCAGCGCCACTGTTTTGTTGCTCAAAAGTGATTTTATATATAACCTCGTTTATCTCCAACTTTGCCTGTTACATATGTAAATGAGAGCAGCCTGCCTAAACATACTTTAAATTTCTGATAATGAAGGAAGAGAAAGAAGGAAGAGAGCCCAGCTGTGTTGGTTTCATGGGGCTATTACGATAGTCAAATTTTTATCATAAAAAAGCAAATCTTTTAAGTAAGAAGGTGTCACTTTCAATTCACTGCTTTTCAAGATGAACTTAAATTAAAAAAATAAACTCAAATTCTGTCCTTGACTTACAGCTAAGACTACCGTTCTTTTGCAAATGGTTTTTTTCCACATAGGCTCCTCTAATGACCTGTTAACTCTGGAGAACCTAAAGTTTTATCTTTAGAGCAGCAACAAAAACAAACAAAAACCTCCATGCAGCTTGAGAAGGCACACACTTCTGATGATGAATAAAACTGAAAAGTGCTTGACATTTTAAAAACAACAACAACAAAAGCCTTACTGAGTCAATGCAAGTTCACAATTTCAATTTTCAGACTGCACAACAGTAGCGTTTTCTTTTCTCTCAATGTTATCCCTAATACACAGGAAGATGACGGGAACCTGAATGAATACCCCCCACATACCCAGCCCTCCTCCCAGGCAGTCAACTGTACTATAATATCAAAGAAGGATTTGCCTAGTTTAAAAATAACAGCAGCAGCAGCAACCACCACCACCTCAAGCACTAACCAAAAACACCCATAAGGATGCCTTTAAAAATTACATTTTCAGTTCTGCTCTCTTCTCTGTGTTGAAAAAAGCTGATGCAGTTAACCACAGATTTTAAAGGGTAGCTGTATTTAATCTGAATTCTTCTGGCCAAGATTGTTTCAGAACACCCCGCTGAGAATATAGATAAAAAGCTATTCTGTTGGTATCCAATCACATGCCCAATACAGGCACTCACAGATATTAAGGCAGAATTGACCAAGGCATTACCTATGATCACTTCTCATATAGCGCAGGCAAAAAAATTTGGCCATGCTCCCCCAGTAATCTGACCTGAATCTTGACAGAGATCCTGTTTAAATGATGGAACTCCTTAGAGAACAGGATATTGGAATTCATTCCTGATCTTCCTGATCTAAAGATTTCTATCTGCTGAAGAGAATACACTCCCTCTCAAACTAAGCAAACTACCCAAATGGGTAATCACCATTAGCTTAAACATTAAAAAAAAAAAAAATTCTTTTTTCTGGTTTCAGCTGCGAGCCAGTGGAATCCACCATGCTGTGTTCCACACCCTATCCAGTTTTCCTATGTGTTTTCACAACGCTCAAGCATTGTGCCTGCTGTACTTTAACTTTGTTTCCCCTTCCTTAAGCATCCACGGACCATATTTATTCCCTGAAGTCCAGCGCTGCATGAGGAAAGTGTGTGCTGGCAGCTATTTATATGAGGTACCACCTTGATCTACTGCCGCAGCTCTAGGGTCCCATGTGCCGCATCTAGCTTGGGATGGGCCACCTTGCAAGAACGGTTTGACATTTGGCTGTGCTAAAATGAATATTGTCTGTCTGAGCAAGAAAAAAAATCAGTGTGGATAAGGGAGTCCCATTTATACTTGTTTGGCAATAATCAAGTATAATAATTTTTAAACCATTTCATATAGATTAGAATACTCCTAGGTAAGGCCTTGTTTAGAAGCAGAATATCACAGTGGAATAAACCAACTACAGTAAGGAAGTCTGCGTGTGTTAGGTTAACGCGCTTACTTCTGTTGACTAAACACAATCCTTTTTTTTTTTTTTTTTTTTCCAAAAATGATTACGCCTCTCATGTCTGCTAATGACAGCAGTCCACCCAGTGCTACTGCCCCGAATGTCGTACTTCTACCTAGCCTCTTAATACTATGAAATAAAAGAGCCCACAGTCCCAAGCCTTTGCTTTCTCCCTCTTGTCATGTGCGGCTCTCAGGTCACCCCACTGACTCTCACCCGCAATTCAGGGCCTGTGGAAGCAAGCTCTCCCGACCTCCAACTGCTGGCATGCCACCCACAGCCCACCAGCGGGGCTTTCTCCAGCCGTGCCCCGCAGCGGTCCTCTAACCCACGAGATCAGCTCAGCAGCTATGCCAGCAACCAAACCCCTTGGGTCTCCACCCCGCTGCCATCTGGGGCGTTTTATCAGGTCCATCGACCTCCCACCATTAGTATTTGTTCAATAGGGCTTGTGATCCCCTGGCCTTACTTGGCTGACCCAGGTAGCAACTGAAAGCACATACAGAATGAAAGCAGTTTGGAAAAAACAAAACACAGTTTTCCAGAAACTCTTTTCCCATCCCTTTGCCAAGTGAGTTATATCATCTTAAATTCCCCAAGCACACTTGAGCTCCAAATTTTAGATCAGTGTAACTCCACTAACTTCAAATGCTATAAAAAAAAAAGTACCAGTTTAATAACGCTGAATTATTTTTAAAAGGTAATATTGTCCTGAAAGCCACTTTGAACCTACTTATCTGAATGATTTTTTTAACCAAAAAAATTGGCAGTAAATTCAACTGGTTTAATAGCAAGCAGAAGAGCTAATATGAGAGCTTCTTTTTACAGCCTTCACAAAACTGCCTTTATGATGTGGGAGCTGAAAGAGGCCCTGAGAGACAATTTCCACCTTCCTTCTCGCACTGGGCTGGGGTGAGCACAGCTAGGAGCTCTGGAGCGGTTCTGCAGCATTTCATTCTGATTAAATAGGTTAGAAAACGTAAAATGGACAGAGCTGTTTCTATGAGAGAATGATCAGCAATCACTTCTCTCAAAGTTTCTTCAAATAAAGCCTAATAATCTTAATTAAATGTTGCTTTAGCAGCTTATCTCCAGCCATTATACAGAGATCTGCAGAGTGAGAAGAGCAAACACCCCACTGCTTAAGACAGCTTGCAGATCACAAAATAAAGTTAAAACAGGTTGAAACACTGAAACCATCTTCAGAGAGATATCTTTACTAAACCTCACATCTTTGTGGGCTGCT